GGAAGTATTGTCACAAAACTTCTTTCTTGCAGAGCACCCCACCATCGAATGCTTCACACGGATGGCGAGGTATCATAGCGGGAAGGAAAGTGTTAGCCAAAGGCTTAGGGTGGTTAATTGGAAATGGAGAATCAATTAGAGTTTGGGATGATCCATGGTTATCGACTTCAGAACCATTAACACCTACTAGACCGAGGCCACAACATCTTGCTAACTTGCGAGTTTCAGACCTTATTGATGCTAATACCATGGTTTGGAACTGGGAAATCATTCGGAAATATCTCCCAGATCACGAAGCTCAAATACGACTCCTTATGCTGGGTATAACAAAGCATAGTGATAGTTTAGCGTGGCTCTATACCAAAAATGGGAAATACACAACCCGTAGTGGTTATGGGACCAAAACTAGAGAAGAAGCACTGCTCTCGGAATGCAGTTTCAACTGGCAAAAGAACGTATGGAAGCTCCGAACTCAACCAAAAATTAAATCTTTTCTTTGGAAAGCAGCGGTCAATGCCCTACTAGTGGCAAACAGCTACAACGCAGAGGCATTGGGGACTCACATTCTTGTCACCGATGTGGTGCTATTGTATCGGTTAATCATATTCTACTCCATTGTCCTAGGGCACGAGAAGTGTGGGCTCTTGCACCTCTGTCCCAAATCAATTGGAGTCAAATTGCAACAACCTTGGATTTCTTAGAGTTAACGGTGAAGACTTTGGTGTTATCACCAGTTGGAATTTCTAATGCGGCGCTACATGCTTGGGTTTGCTGGAACCTATGGACGGATCGAAATCAATCTATTTTTGAGAATAAAACAAGCTCAGCGAATGTCATTATGAATAAGGCCATCTGTGAAGCCAAAGCTTGGCAAATGGTCCAAGACTCACTGCCGGTGAGAAGAATACCGAAACCACGACCGTACACTGATCCAAATCAATTCCCGGGCTCAACATGCTACACGGGCGCTTCTTGGAAGAAAGAAGCTAAGTTTTGCGGTCTAGGATGGTGGTTTGAAGATCCAATTGGAACCGAAAAAGAAGAGTTTTCCGCGGCATTGCCAAATGTTACTTCGGCTCTTGCAGCGAAACTTGGGCTATTATTATGGCAATGCAAAAGGCTCGAGATAGAGGAGTGGACTCCTTAAAAGTATGCTCCAACTCACAGGTTTTAATTAACCTACTCATCTCTAAGGATTCGCATACAGAGATCCACAATCTTCTGTTCGAGATTAGGCTATTAGCTACGCACTTTCGTTTGCTAAATTTATATTTGTTCCACGAGAAGCCAATATGTTGGCTGATTTGTTAGCTAAGAGAGCGTTTGATACTCTTGTTTTGTCGACGGTTTCGACTTAAGTAATAAAATTTATCGTTGTGACCAAAAAAAATAAAATAAAGTATCCTAGTTGATTTAGCAAAGTTATATATCTTCCGTTTCATTATGTATGATGTTCGATTTCTCCTCAAATAAACCCATTTTCTTTAAATGGCGATAAAGCATCTCACTGTTCAAAGTCTCGTAATTTACCAACAACAACAAAAATGCGGTGAGGAAACATGTTTTAATGTTGTTAAAACCTATAGTAAAAACAAGTGTGGAGGTATATTTTGTAGAACAGTTATACAAGAAACTCTGTTGAAAATAAGGAAACATCGTATGAAATGATCGATTGTAAACTGACATGAACAAGAAGAATGCATGTGACTAATTAATAACTAGGGATATATTGAAATTATAGAACGATGTTTGCCTAAGAAGTAAGAATACGAACCAGTAAATCTTGCCTCCAGTTTTGGACTCAAACTGAACTTGTTATATATGCAACAATGGCGAAATCTTCAAATTTT